TACACATGCTACTTCTCGACCCAGAGAGTGGAGAATTTCCTTTGGGGGAAACAGAAGACGAGTGGAGAGGACATGGAAGAAGAGCCTCCAAGACTGAGGAGGGGGAAGAGGACGTGGGTTCAGCGGGAGTCCCTGTATGTTTAAATATCACTGGTGCTAGATGCAGTAGATTTAATATGCAATATGGCGATGTTACAAAAGAGCAAGAAGCTCTCCTTCAAGCTTTCGTCGGAAGCACGCTTTCCATCCTGGTACCCATAGCATGCCTAGCCTCCGGGGGTGATCCTCCGACGTACCGGTTGGACCTCTTGGACAATCTGGCACTGGCCGCAGGTTCCCTGCATCGGAATCAGAAGAGGAAAGCGACGTCTCGTGCGTCAAGGAAGGATGAGCACGAAGATCCGACGATGTTCCGGGAAGGCCGCATTGCGAGCCTCATAAGTGCGTATATAGTGGAAATCAAAGCCCTTGAATTTCTGCTTTTGAGCGCATCCACCGTCCATAAGAACGCTGGACTTCAGCTCGCTGATTTACAAGGCTTTCTTCAAAGGTCCTTTCCCAAAGCAGGGGAAGAAGAACTTAATAGTAGAGCAGGACTCGACCCGGAACGTTTTCCGCAGGATGTAATAGTAAGCATGTTGGATTTACTGAGCACAGAACCACCTCTTGCTTCACTGCCCTCTGGCGCGACAAGCAAGAGCGCCCTCTGCAATCTTGAGCCTAGTGCCTTAGGTCCAGCACTTCAGGCCTTGGCCGAGCGTATCTTGGGGGCATCACGGGTACGTCGCACTATTAGCAATAATGAGCGGGGAAAGGAAGATAGTGACGTAGTGGACTTGACGGAGCTGTGGTCGAATTGCAATCCAGTGGAGCTTTTGTTCCACCTTAAGGTTCGTCTCGCGCAAGCATCAAATCCTGTTCGCGCTCAACGCCTTCTGGAGGTGACCAAGGAATTACTAATGAACCTCGGACCAGTAGCTCAGTCTCCAGCTGCGCTGCACGTGTGCATTCACCTGATGCTGTGGGCTCTGGAACGTCACGCATTTGCCCTCACACTCTCGGTGCTAGATATGCTAGAGAGCTACCTAGATGCTGTTTTGGATCATAGGAGTGCAGATGGCCACCCAGTCGGGGCCGAACGTTTGCGCGTGCATTTAGGCGGCCTGGTAGTTTCGCTTTTTACAATATTGGTTCAATTACGGGTCTGCACACATCGACGTCCGAGCGTGGGGGGGACGGACCTGCATGATGATGATGTAATATCGGAGAGCTCATTGTTGATGTTACCATTGCACTTATTTACCCCCTCCATCAATGAGCGGGCTTCTTCGTCATTCGTCCTCACCGAAGATGAGACGGGAGCTATCGCAGCAAAAGTAGTTTGTATCCTGCATCGCTTGATAATACAAGAAAGCAGTCTGAAGCGTTATATTTGTGACCTCGATCCTCTGCCTAGGCTTACCATTGGCAGCTGGTTTCGGGAGTCGGATGCGTTGGAGCATACACTGGAGGAAGTTCGCGTAGCTATTGTGCGGGCTACAACAAGTGCCACAATAAAATGCGGCACAATAGACCAAGGGGAATCACGTCGACAGCTTATTGCTCATGCGAAGCGCTTTACCGTCACATTGGCGCGAAGTGCTGGACAGGGTCGTGCGGGACAATTTACCCGCTTGGTAGCCCTCCAAGCGTTGCTGCACCGCTTAAGTCCTATCCAAACTTCCGCAGATGATCTTTACCCATCTCAAGTGACTCCTTTGGATCCTGGACCAGAGGTCCGCCGCCTCTTAGTACCTGCATTGCTAAGCTTGTGTCGACCTCGGGAGTGGGAGAAAAGGTCCCTTGGTGGAAGGTCAGATTTATCAGGAGCCTCGCACAGGTCCGGTGGCAGTGGCACGGAGGAAATATCCATTCGACTAGAGGCTGCCCGTGTCTTGGGAGCTCTCGGTGCAGTCCCACCCAGCGAATTAGTTCTATGGGTACCTGCAACTCATATTGACCAAATCCATGGAAACAAAAGTACAAGCACAAGCAATTGGAAGAAGAGATCATTCGGCGCTGGCTCCTCCCGTCGCTCCCTAGGTGCTTCGTTACCTGCACCTCCTCCACTTCTCCTGCCCGCAACACCATGCGAATCTATTGTGGGCAAGGCACTAAAGATTCTGTTGGGACTTTTGACAAGCTCGGACGCTCATGCTGTACAACTTGCTGTCCTAACCCTTCGAAGCACATTGCTTCGGTCAAAGTACGACGAGACAAAAAGCCAGAAGGAAAACAGCGACTTAAATGCAGACTCTGGTCGAGCTGTACAAAATTTTGAGATACGGCCTTGGATGAAAACGATTTGGAAGTCACGACAGCACGACGCGGTCTTTGACGAGCAAGAGGCGGCCTTGTTACAGTCGTTCGAACGGTCTTCCACCAAGAGTCGCATTCGCGACACGGAGGCATCGTACCGATGCGATGTAGGGCAAAGAGAAGCATTCGCAGCGTCGTATTTGGTGTCTTCAAGCGAAAAACGGCTTGAAACTCTCTTTCCCAATGCTATTCGTCCAGTTGATGCAACTTTTCCGCGTGCTAACAACAAGTGGTGCAGTCGACGGATTTGGGACCCTCGTCGGCTACCGTACGAGGACTGGATCACACAGCTAGTTTGGACGCTGGCACAGGAAGTTATGGTTCGAGCGTCCGGGCGAGAAATCGAGAATCACCTCGACAATTGCGAACAGGACGAGAGTGAGTTGACTACAGTGCGCCGATTTCTGATCCAGTGTAGTGGAACCTGCCGAAGTCAGCCGGTGCTGGCAGAGGTATTGTTGCCCGTTGCATTATTCTGTCTTGTGCGACTGGAAAGAGATTGCTCGTTGACAGCAGTGAATGCAAGACAATCATTCAATACGCGCGAGAGGGCAGATCAGCAGCAGCAAGGAGAGGACGAGGAAAAAATAACACGCGAATGGGTCTGTCAGCAGCTGACGCGATGCATTCGACTGTGCCTTTCCCGAGCAAGCCCCCGTCCATCGCAAGCCTTAATTAGCGCGCTGACTTTCCTTCGTATGCAAAGCATCCATGAAGCTTTGCAGGTACGCTTTCCTTCTTCTCCCCTTGTCGGCAAATCTGTTCGACGCAAAAGCACTGAACGCACCAGTCCTTCTCCTGCTCATCTCGAAGCACACGAGGCTGTTGCAGCTGTGGGGGGCATGATGGGCTTGGGGTTGAACAAGCTGGAAATAGCGCGAGCGGCGATTCGATGTGGTGCGCTGACTGCAGCGACACTTTATTTGGAGCTTCACGTGGAGGACGAACGACAGCACGATCAGCTTCAGGCCCGTCAATCAGGAATTCATGAAGGAGCACACGATGGGACGGGCAGAACACAAGACTACAGTCGCTCCGTGGACCGTATAAGCAGAGGTATCTGCATCAGCAGAGGCAAAAAAGGTTATGGAAAGCAGGACAAATCCACTCTGTTATTGGGCGAGGTCGGGGAAGTCGAATCCCTTCTCCTTCGTATATCGGGTCGTCTCGCGGAGCCTGATGGAGCAGATGGTGTACAAGAAGGTACTGGCCTTGAAGGGAGGATGCGAGCGGCAGCTGCGCAGGGAAGCCCTGATTGGCGCCAAGCTTTGGCAGAGCATGACTGCCTTCTTCAGCGTTGGCAAGGACAAAATGCTAGCAGAGCGTCCCATAGCTCTACCTCCTGTTCGTATTTTCCGGCGAATGATAGCAAAGATACTGCAATTTCTGCGGGATCGGCGATTGCTCTGCAGAAACTGGATTTAGGCCATGTTCTGGACACATATTTGGCTGGGCTGAAGACGCGTACGGACATCGGTCATGAAACAGCTTTACGGGAGTTGGAATTTGAAACCTCATGGCGGGCCTGTCGATGGCAACAATTCCCTATCGCGAATTATAATCAGTCCTCCTTATCAGCCCTTTGGGGTCCAAATGTATGTGTGGCTCGGCATCAACCATCCTTACTGGCTACTACAGCACACAATTTTGGGAATACAGCCCTGCCTCTGAGCCTTGATGACGATCAATCAATTCAAGCTTGGCATCAAGAGGGCAATGCTGTGGAAGACCTAGCGGGTGGGCCGTCTCTGAGTCTTCTACGACGACACCGCTATCATGAGCATATTCATGCGGGGCTGCGAGCCTTAGCGGCCGGAGACAATGCAATTCTCTCACAAAATCTGCGGGCAGCGCGTCTAGGATTGCTTAGTTGCTTGGCTGAGGAGATAGCCTCAGAACCTAGTCGCTTCCTGTCGCCTGTCTTAGCCCGTTTACAGTCGCTACAGGAGATGGAAGAGGTGGCAGCCCTGCGAGCAGTTTTTACCTGCAGAATGGCGAAAAGTAATCATGCGAGAGATCTGCACGCCGCCAGTCTGCAACAGCTATCGGGGCAAGAAGATTACGATGCTATGGCTTGCAATATTAATGCCACATCCTCCTATTCTGGCATTCATAGCAGAGAAAAAGGGCGCGCGTTGATAGATATTTGGCAGGCACGGTCGCACGGTGCGATTGAGGATGACTTCGAGCTTGCCGAACCGGTGCTGGCCGTACAAGAAGTGCTGATTCGAGCGCTTTGTCCGCCCTTAGATTGTCATCAAGCGCTTGTGCGTCATGCGCAAGGTATAGCCGCAGCTGCGCGTGCGGCAGGAAATTTGACCATCGCGGCGAGTGTGATGGACAGAGTGGAGAGCCTTCTACTTGCCCCTGGTGCTAGCCCGAATGGAGTATTGACAGTGGAGCGCTGCGTCTGCAAGCTTGAACAAGCCCGTATCCTCTGGGCAAACGGGAAAGGAGACCTTGCCATCCGAACTGTGACAGCTCTGGCTCCTGCCTTGGAGACTTTGGACCAAGACGTCTCTAAAAAATGTTCAGATGAAGCCAGGGTACGCGGATTGGAGATTCAGGCTCGACAACTAGCGGGGCGGTGGATGGCGATAGCCCGATCCGAAAGCACGCAACGTATCATCGACGGACATTTACGGCCCGCCGTAGATCGAGCTGGTGCAGATGGAGGCACGCCCGCGCAGCGTCGACAGGCTCATTTGACACTGGCCGATTTTCTCACTGACTTGTATCAACGTCGCTCTGAACGTCTGAAATCTGACGAAATGGTACGACAGGCAGAGTTACTGCAGCAGCGTAAAGTGGAGCTTGAAGTCAGGCAACGGGAATACGAAGGGGTTAGCGAAAAAGATCCGAAATGCAATGAACTCAGACGGCGAATTGGAAGCTTAAAGAAAGAGTTAGCGCTGGATGAAGCCGATTTTAAGGCACAGGTTGACTCTTTATCTGGGATCCTTCTTGATGCGTTGAAGCATTTCAGACAAGCACTGTGCTTTGACGGTTTGGTGGGAGGTGGGCACCGGCGGAAAACTACAAAGAACAGTTGCGAAGGTCGTCCTGTCCTAGCGAGCGACTCAGAGGCAAAAGAGCACGAAGAGGAAGATGGCTCGGGATGTGGAGATGATGATGACTTGGGACCCATCTTCAAGGTTGTAGCGCTTTGGTTCGATCCAGTCAATGCAGGAAGCCTTGTCGTGAATGCAGAGCTTGCCAAGCTGGTTTTAGAGATTCCCACTTACAAGGTTGTACCATTGATATATCAGATTTTATCGCGATTGGGCTCGGGTACTCGTGAATTCAGCAGCGCTGTAGAATTGCTAGTTTTCCGGACTTGCAAAGAACACCCCCACCATACCCTGCTCCAGCTTTTCGCTCTTCGGCACGGGAAGACGCTCAATTCGGCTGCAGCCCGAGAAACCTACAATCGTATGGCGCACCTGGAAGAGAAGGTCCAAGCAGCGCAAGGAATCTTGAATCGCTTGCTGTCTAGTGGTTGCCCCGTCTTGGCGGCTCTCGTCACCAACACAGAAAAACTTCTTGACGGGTACATCAAATTGGCTTCGATCAAGCGCACGCAGGAGATGAAGCAGTCCCGGAACCTGTCTTTTGTGTCCCTTACCGCCGAGCCGGCCGTTGTCCGTAGTTTTCCGGACATTCTGCGACGTGGCGCCGAAGGTCCTAGAAGCGGAACTTCGAGCAGCGGCGTCACTTTGGCAGCCTTACCTGCCGTCTTGACCAAATCACCGCCGTTGGACCCGATGGCGAGGTATGACGCTGAGGATCAGGCATGGGGGTGTTCCACGCATGTGGTGCGTGTGGAGCGATTTGAATCCCGCTTTGCTCTCGCCGAATCCGGACTAAGCAGACCTTTGATAATTGCTTGTCTGGGTACTGACGGCCGGCGATACAGGCAGGTTTTGAAAGCGGATGACGTGCGCTCGGACGCTATCATGATGCAGGTCTTTGAAATGATGAACACTCTCCTTTGTAGGGACCCTCGGGCCCGGCGCCGCGCCCTGCATATCCGCACCTACCGGGTAGTGCCCATGACGCCTGAGTGCGGCGCGCTCGAGTTTGTGGAGGACACCAAAACGCTTGGAGGGCTGCTGGTCGCATCAGACAGTTCCTTGGGTCTGCATGAGCGCTACAATGGGGAGGATGACTTCAGCTCTCGGGAGTGCCGGGAGCTCCTGCGAACAGCTCGGACAAGTGAGGAGCGGCGAGACGCCTACCAGACCATCACTGAGAATTTTCATCCTGCCTTCCGTTTTTTCTTCCTCGAAAGCTTCCCAGACCCGGCGGTCTGGTACAGAAAGCGCTTGTATTACACCCGCTCTGTGGCGGTGAGCTCGATCGTCGGCTACGTGTTGGGGATCGGGGACAGACACGCCAGCAACATCCTCGTGGATCAGGCCACGGCAGGTCTCGTGCACATTGACTTCGGCTACACCTTCGAGCAAGGCAAGGTCCTACCACAACCAGAGACGGTGCCCTTTCGCTTAACGCGAGACTTGGTGGACGCCATGGGGGTGACGGGCACCGAAGGTGTCTTCCGCCAATGCTGCAACACGACCATGGCAGTGCTGCGCCAGCATGCCCCGTCGTTACTGACTATATTGGAAGTCTGTGTCCACGACCCTCTACACAGCTGGATACGTGCGGGTATGCCTGGCGTATTGGCCATGGAAGGTGGTGAGGAGGCACGTGCGGGCGTCTCGGCGGTATCGGGCAAAGCGAACTGTGTGAGCGGGGGAGACGAGGAGGAGGAGGAGGAAGGAAGTGGACGGCATCGTCGCGGTGCGGCCCACAAGGTGCTGGGCTTTGAAGAGCGGAAAGCATGCGAGGCGATGCGGCCCAACAGCGACGCAGAGCGAGCCTTGCTGCGCATTCGGCAGAAACTCAAGGGATACGAAGACCCTGGAGGGGATGCAATGAGTACCGAGGGCCACGTCAAGTACCTCATTTCGCAAGCAACGGACCCGGATAATTTGTGCCGTATCTTTGTGGGGTGGAGCCCATGGTTGTGAAAAACGATGATACTGGTAAACTGGTGACAATGTAGAGAAGCAGCTGTTCAAAGTGGTTGATGTACAGAAAGCAAATGCACAGTAGCAAAAGGTGCAGTCGCAAAACATGCGAAAAATAATTCTTGAGGCCCTATTTGTTTCATGGCTCTCCAATATGTGTACAGCGAAGCCACTTTCAATATCTGCGCTTGCACAACTACGTGATTTTCTGAAGGTGTGGTGTGATAATATCAAAGTGCTTTGTAGTCTGTTACTCGACCACAATGAAGCCCAGCAATCGAGGCTTGTCTGAATGTTTCGCGAAAGTGGATGGCAGGACCATTCATTCGAAGCTTCTCTGTTGCTATCTTGGAGACATGTTTAGCAAGGATCCCCCTTTCCACCAAATTAGACCTCTAAACTATCCATGCATGCGTGCGGGAACCGTGTGCAACATTTTCTGCATAAGCTGTGCCCGTTTTCTTCACTTATAAGATTTTATGCGTCCGTAGGCAAGTAGCAGAATACAATGCTGCGCCAAATCTCCCTTAAACCGACTTTCCAATCATATAACCTCCTGGTAACGCATCAGGTGATGCCATGAACTTTAAATGTTGTGGCTCACAACTGGCCTAAAGCGTCCTTGTTTTTTTCTTGGTGATGATAGAGCTTGCATATTGTGAAGCCGATGAATATCTCGTTCCGAATATCCACATTTAGCGCGAAAATACCCTTGGTTACTGTCTGCTCTGTTCAGCACGCCATTGAAGGGAACCAAAATTTTGGCCTGAAAGAAAGGAATACACATTTGACCAGAATTGATCGATGCTGTGAAAGGAAGAGGTTCCTCGTACATTTTGCAATGTGCTGGCAAGGCGCCTCAGTAGTGCGTGGTCCATGAATAAGACAGTGCTGCATTTCCCTGCTCGCCGAGGTGGCCAGACGCCCTCTCTCGTTGATGTTGCTCAAGCGAGCCCTCCACCACCGCAGAAGAATCCTCTCGTATCTAAGGCACTAGTAAACACCTCCACGCACCAGAAGTTGAGCCATCAATGCCTCACGCTTTCCGTCTTCCATCTGTCTGACAGGAATGAGCCGATCTTCCTCCTCGTCTTTTTTAACCCTCGTCGCTTGTCTCGTGCTTTCCAGCTACAGCGCATCTGCCTTCATGTTACCGCGAATTTCCTCTTTAGCCTTCCAGCGCGTGGGACCCTCGGTTGCGCGTGCACCCGCCCATGCCGCAGGCCGTCGTATGATGCTTTCCCGTGGCCTGGCAATGGCGGCCAACCCTCAGGTGAGCGGAGGTTGGGAAATCTAAAAGAAACGCGAAGATACTTGGCGCTGTTTTCCAAACAGTCTGACTAAGCTACTTAAGAGTTGGAATCGCCTGCCAAAAAGCTTCGATTTGAACATGCAGATATAACTTCAATTTCATGTCGTCTCCTGTATGGCTTTCTCGGGTAAAGGTGTATTTCGACGTTGAAATCGGGGGCGAGAAAGCTGGTCGTATTACCATGGAGCTCGCGGCGGACGTGGCTCCCAAAACTGCGGGTGAGTTTCTGCGGGACCTCTCCGCCGTATAGGTCACTGGTTGCGTCGTATAGGTCACTGGTTGTAGGCTGATGTCCCCTCCCTGTTCACCCGGCAGAAAATTTCCGGCAGATCGCCACCGGTGAGGCTGGTTTCACGTACAAGGGGTCTGCCTTCCACCGAATCATCCCGGACTTCATGCTCCAAGGTGGAGACATCACCCGAGGAGATGGCACTGGTGGCCAGTCTATCTACGGCCGAACCTGTACGTCACACAGAAAACGGAATTGGATCCACCGCGAAGCATTTGGAAGAGTCTTTCTCGCTCTAGGATAGCGCGGTTGAAGCCCGTTCATGGCCCTCCTTCTCCTCCCCCTTCCTCGTTTTCTTCTCTCCTCGGACTACCCATCCCTATACCACAGTCCCGGACGAGAACTTTACGCTCAAACACAAGGGCGTCGGGCTCCTGTCCATGGCCAACGCCGGGCCCAACACGAACGGCTCCCAGTTCTTCATCACCACCGTCGAGACTCCTTGGTACGTATCGGGCGGTTCTCGTCGCCTCCCTCCCCTCTTGCTGCCTTTTCCCGCTCTGAGAATGGCATACACCCCCCCTTATCCTCGTGGTACCTTTTCCTTGTTCCACGCGACAGGCTGGATGGCCGGCACACGGTCTTCGGGCGGGTCACGGAGGGCATGGACGTGGTGCGGAAGGTGGAGGCGGTGGGGTCCCCACGGGGAACGCCGAGCAAGAAAGTGGTGATCGTGGACTCAGGAGAGCTCAAGTAGACGGGATGAGCATGGGCAGAGAGGGCATTGATTAAGGGGGGGGAGGGAGGGGCGTTCAGAACTAGTGTCGGTGGAAGAAGCGGATCTAGAAAAGGAAAGTGGAGGGTGGCGCGTCACTTGCACTGCATCGACAATGTGATGGACGCGAAGCTTTACCTCACTCATGTGCGGAGCAATAAGGGACACAATAAGGGACACAATCATTCCAAAATCTTCGACAGGAATGAATTCTGTCAGAATAATCCGGCACGCTCTCAAGCGGTGCGAGGTCTTGGTTCTTCATTCCTTTATTTCGTTAGCAGCCTATTTGCCTCCATGTAACCCGTGCCACCCCCCCGTCATGTCCCCTTCCTCCCAGCGTCCACCATTTTCCTCAGCTCCTCCACCTCCTTCCGCTGCTTCTCCAGGTTCATGCGTTTCTGCTCCTTCTCAGGGTGGAAGTAGAGGACCACCAAGTACCGACCGCAGACATTGAAGCCATTCAAGTGCTCAAGTGCGTCCTTGGCGTCGTAGATATCTTCGTAAATCACGAAAGCCTTCCCTCGATTTTCGTTGGCGGCTCCAACGCGGATCTGTCCGTGGGGTGTGAGGAACATGAGAGCGGTCCACCATGGCTGTCTTTCCGTTTCTTTGAAAGAAAGGAAAAATTGCAAGGTTGCATCCAGCATCTCCATCATGTTACCGGGGGGGACGCAGCGTAATGTCATCCCCAGACATATTATAAGGTGGGAATGAGACGAGAGACTTAAAGCACTCCAAATCTCTTTACGATTGCCTCCCAGGCATTACCTGTCTTATCGGTCCATATTTGCCAAAAATGTCGTAAAGTTCCTCGGAGGAAAGCTTGAAGGGAAGGTTACGAACATACAGCACGCGAGTCACGTCTGGAGAGAGACGGTTCCGCTGCCGAAAGTTGGCGGCATCCGCCATGATGAAGGCTAGTTGCCGCGAACCGAGACCTAAGAGTGCAAGTAGGAAAATAAATAGCGTGAGGGGACTCGACAATGCAGAGGGCTTGACATCGATGTGAGTAGCTAATGTGTGACCAAGCCGGTGTCTGTCGCGCCATGAGGCATGCACCAGTTGAGGAGCCGGAGGTCGGATAGAAAGGGAGGCAGGTAACCACGTGATAACGG